CAGCCAGCTTCCAGATCTTTGTTCCTGGAAGACAGTTGGAGAAGACCTTCTCTTTGCAAGATGCATCTTGGTACATGTAGTGCTCAGTTAACGACCGCTGGTTCAGCAACCATTCAAATTTGTGATGGCACTGAATGAGTGGTACTTATGACCATCCTCAAAGTTCTGGCCATCACGCTGCCCCTGCAGTCCCATGATTGCAGTCCAGGCACTTGGCAACCAGCTCATCTTACGAAGGTTGCAGCATCCCATGGTCACATCATCGCCATTTGCAACCTTATCTGCTGGATTCCCATAAGCAAAATTAATGGGGAAGCTGGCAGGGAAGGTTGCAAGTTGTTCCTGCTGCTTTTTCTCCCAAGGAGCCCTGCTAGGAGTACACGATCCTAGAGATCATGTACTCCATGGTGCACACTTGTGCCACAGCCACCCCCCAGCCTGTGTTGACTCACACGGTGCCACAGCAATGCCTACTCCCCCCCGCCTCACTCTGTAGTACTCACCCACCCTCTGACCTGCTCACAAGCTGCCCAGGACTTGCAACTTCAGCCAGCTTCCCCATTGACTTTGCTTGTGGGAAGCCAGCAAGAAGTTGTAGTCACATGAGGTCCTCACTTAATGACCCACGATTTTCGCTTAGTGATGGCAATGACAGCCGGGATTGCTGTCGCTAAGTGATACGGTCACATGATGTGCTTTGCAACCATATTGCTTGGTGATGGAAATTCCAGTCCCAATTACCATCATTAAGCAAGGACTACCTTTATCTCCTGGGGGAAATTGTTCTGTCTGCATTTCCCATCTCCTATACCACAGTTCCTCAACCTTGGCAACTCTAAGACAGGTGGACTTCAACTGCCAGAATTCCCCAGCTGGCTGGGGAAATCTGGAAGTTGAAGTCCACCCGGCTTAAAGTTGCCAAGGTTGAGGAACCCTGTCCTATACTAAACATAACCAGCAAGCTTGTGAACTTTGATTTTGTCTAGCTGTCTCTAAACTGTAACAGCACATCATCCAGATTGGGGAAACCAAGAGCTCCTTCTGTAACCTCTTGGGGTCCACATTGCAAGATTGCCTCCAAGTGTAACAAGCCTTCCCATTGTCTTTCTGTCCAAGCATGTCTGGGACTGTGGGCTTTGCTCTTCCACAAGGCAGCCGTGTTCGTTCAAGGATGAATGTCCAGTTACGACACAGAAGGTTTTGAGGGCTCCGGTGGGAAAACCAGTGCAAGTTGAAATTCTTTCTGAGCTGTGAAACTTTGGCAGGGAAGCATCCTCCACTCTGGTGCTCCCCCTTCCCAGTAAGATGGACTTATCATCTTGAACCAGATAATTTTTGGCCTGTGAGATGGACAGTCTTTAAACACTTTTTAAGGGAAGCTAAGAAGTGTTGCAGTAGATGAGGTGGTGGTTGCCATTTCATCACCAATGATAAAGCTGTGATTTCTGGGGAAGAGGCAGTTAAAGAAGTATTGAACATGGCAGTTTGAAAAGGCTTCAGCATTGTTGTGATGTTTCTTGGTTTGTTTCAGAGTCTCTAAGGATTTGGGAGGTAGATCCCTGGCCTAGAATCATTAATAAGAGTGGAGTCCTTGGAGTTCTCTGAGCTTGGTTGTTTTCTTGCAGACGTTTCATTACACGTCTAGGTAACATCTTCAGTGCTAGAAGGGAGTAGGGTTTACTCTCTGTTTATATCCTTAGATGTCATCCAGTCCAGTGCAGGATCACCTAGAGCATCCCTGACAGATGACCATTCAGGCTCTGTCTGAAGACCTCTAGTGAAGGAGAACGCACCACGTCTTGTGCCAGCTTGTTCCATTGGCTGATAGCTCATGCTGTCAAGAAGAGCCTCTTGATCTCTAGCTTGATGTCTTTTTCTTTGTAGTTTTAACCCAGTAGTTCTGATCCTGCCCTCTGGGGCAAAGGAGAATTAAATCTACTCCCTTTTCTGTGTGAGAACCCTTCAGATATTTGAAGAGGGCTATCTTATCTCCTCTCAGTCTTTTTTTTTTTTTTAGTTAAAACATACCCATGTTCTTTAACCATTCCTCGTAGGACTTGGTTTCCAGACCCCTCTCTGTCTTAGTAGCCTTCCGATGGGTTCTTGTCCTTGTGATGCCCAGAGTTGGTCAGAGTGCTCCAAGTGGAACCTGACCAGGGCAGAATTTTTTATTTGTTTGTTTGTTTATATCAAATTTGTCACCGCCCATCTCATGAAACGACTCTGGGCGGTTTACAGCAAGATAAAATTCACTAAAATGCAACGTAAAAACTAAAAATAAACAGATTCCAAGAAGATGGACAGTTGGCGAGTAATTCCAGGGAGCATCATCAGGGGCTAACCACCCCCAGGGACGGGTAGATTCCATATCGCCCCATGCACACTGGTAGAGCCAGGTCTTTAAACCTTTTCGGAAAGCCGGGAGGGTAGGGGCCCACCACACCTCTGGGGGGAGAATATTCCAAAGGGCCAGGGCAGCAGCAGAGAAGGCTCTCCTCCTGGACCCCACCAGCCAACATTCCTTCACTGACAGGATCCTCAACATGCCTTCTCTGCCTGACTGGGTGGGACGGGTTGATGTAATGGGGGTGAGACGGTCCCTCAGGTAACCCAGTCCCATGCCATCTAGGGTTTTAAAGGTGATAACCAACACCTTGAATTGGACCCGGAAGCAAACTGGCAACCAGTGCAGCTCCCACAGCAAAGGTGTTATATGTGCCATCCTAGGGGCACCTAATACAGCTGGCTGCATTTTGAACCAGCTGTAGCTTCCAGATACTCTTCAAGGGTAGCCCCATGTAAAGTGCATTGCAATAGTCTAATCAAGAGATGACCCAAATAGAGTAGAATCATTGCTTTTCATGATTTAGTCTGTGCTAGCATGTTCCAAACCGAGACGATGGAAAATCAATAAGATGCCCTTTATTTTTATCTCTAGCTGCTGAGCTAAGTTATTTGTTCTGAACTGAATCCCAAGCTTTCTTGGAAGGTCCTTGTGATTGATTAAGTGCACTGCAGGGATGCCAACTATGCTCTGTGTGTATGTGTATGCACGTGCAAATGAGACGGTGTGGAAAAAGAAGTGAGACTGGTTTACTTGATATCTGTGATATTTTAGTGCAACCTTCCTTAACTAGTTGGGTCAGCAATTCTGGCGCCTTCGGATCCTGGAAATTGTGGATATCAGGCTGGAAGAGAGCGCCTGTCTACGTGGTGGTAGATTCAGGACAAGAGTGAGAGACTTGCTTCTTGACACCACACAAATCTTGGCCTGTGTTGTTGGGAGGTAAAAGATCCTCAGGTTAACAAATTCACAGAGGAATGGGTTGTTGGTGGCTGTTTCAGTAAGACTTCTTCAGAAGCTGCCAAGCACTTGAATCTGACATACCCAGAAAACAGGATGGGAAGAAACCATCACCTTTGCTGTTTCAAATTTCCCAGAATCTTTGATTGGAAACAGTATGCTAGCTCTCCTAACTAGGCTTTTACCAGTAGTGACATCTTTTTTCATCTTAGATCATGCAGAAATTGAGTCCTATTAATTAACTAGCTAACTAAGTTATATCGCTGCCCATCTCACAATATTCTGGCCTGTATGTCCCACAAAGGAAATCCTGCATTAGAAACTATGCAACCACTGGTTTGTTTTGTATTTAATCATTCACATCCTAGACTGAGAGCCAGGATTTGTATGAAGGCAGGTGAACCTTAGCAGATCTGGAAAAGCTAATCGGGGTTGGATTTTGCTGGGACACCACCAGGAAGTCCCAAGGCTGAAAGCTAGTCTGGGAAGTCAGATTCCCCTGGAAGAAGGCAGTGACAAACTACTTCTATATTCCCCAAAAAGCTGTACAGGTAGTCCTCACTTAATGACCATTCGTTCAACGACTGTTCAAAGTTATGGCAGTGCTGAACAAATGGGTGCCCCATGGTCACGTGATCAAAATTCAGGGCTTAGCCCACCCACACGACCACAGGGGCACTTCAGCTCCCCCCCCCACCTATCTGTCCCCCCACCCTGCTCTTTTGGCCATCCTGCACTCTGCCAGCCCTGCCGCCCCCAGCTGACTGCACCATCTCCTTCCAAAGCCTCATGAGAAAGCCACACGCGATTTGGACAAGGCTGCATGCGGCCTCGGGAAGATATGCCTGGTGCAGCCAGCAGCTGCCTCACAAAGGGCCAGGCACGCCTCATCAGCGGCAGGAGAAGGAAGATGGCGAAGGTCACCTGGGGGCAGCAGGGCTGGCAGGGCAGGCAGAGCCCGGGGGGACCAAAAGGGCAGAATTGGGGGAGATAGGCAGGTGGGGGGTTGTACTGGAGGCAGTCCCTTACTTTGCCGAGGCTCGAGGCTGGGAGGGACCAGCTGGAAGTGGCTTGGGTCAGGATGGGTCCTTGCCTAACAACTGGTGGGATTCTGTTAACGATGGCAATGGGGACTGCCAGCATTACTGTCACTAAGTGACATGGTCATGTGACATTGCACCTTACGACCACATCACTTGGTGACAGAAATTCCAGTCCCAGTTGCCGTCATAACTCAAGGACTACCTGTATTATATATCCATGAGGACTCTGGCTGGACTCAAAGGGATTATTACCTTTAAGTGAGCACTTGAAGGAAAACGCTAGAGAGCTCCATCCTTTTCTTCCCCCGCCCCCCAGCCTGGAAGCTTCCAGGCAGCCAGAAAGCCTTTCCTCCAGGGCTGTGCTTCAGTTCAGAGCGATGATTCAAAGTCAGTCTAATTGAATCATATTAGAAAGTTGGATCACCCTGGAAACTGACTGAATTGGTATTGATCCTTCCACCTTTCTTTGCCTGCACACTTGGGATGGATGACATTTGCAGGGCCCTGCTCCTTCCTGGCCAAGCACCAGCAAGTTAGAAAAAAACCAAGCCGATCAGGTGGTATATTTTTTATCAGATTGGGGAAATAGTTCTGTTCCTGTTAGTTGAAACAGGTTCACCCGCTCTCTGGTGTTCCCCTCCTCTTCCTCCTAGGACTGGCCATTTGATGACGGAGCTCCACCGCCCAACAAAATTGTGGATGACTGGCTCAACCTGCTGAAGACCAAATTCTGTGAAGACCCCGGCTGCTGTGTCGCTGTCCATTGCGTAGCTGGCCTGGGACGGTGAGTGCCAGCCTGCCAGGCACCGAGACGGTCCAAACAACTGTGATGCTGCTGTTGATGTTTTTCTTTGCACAAAACATCTCAGAAGAAGGTAGTGGCAAATCACTCCTCTGTGGCCAGGATAATTCCATGGACATTGTCCAGAATCAAGTTCAGGGGGAATATCCTTACTAGTATATGATGTATTTATGTTTTAAAATGTAAAAGTGACAGCAAAAAGGGCGGTAGCTTGGTAGAGAACTACTTTTCATGTTGAAAGTTGTAGACTGGCATGAAGTCTCGACCAGTGCTTTTCAAACTTGGCAACCTTAAGATGCGTGGACTTCAGAATTATTCTAGGAGTTGAAGGCCACACATCTTAAAGTTGCCAAGTTTGAAAAACACTGGTCTAGATGTTCAGTCTTGTCCACAGCAGAAACCTACACAGGCTTTGCCCACCAGAATTTTTTTCCTCCAGCCTTGGCCTCCTGAATTCTTCTTCAGCCCATTTCGCTTCTTTCAAATTGGAGAAGGGAAATAATATCCCTTCACGGGCCTGATCTCACTCCTGTCTTTTCCTTTCTAGGGCTCCGGTTCTTGTTGCGCTGGCCCTGATTGAGAGCGGGATGAAATACGAAGATGCCATTCAGTTCATTAGACAGTAAGTGCTCCTCAGTAAACTTCTGTGTGGCCTGCTGTTTGAGATGAACGACCACAGGTAGGCAGCCAGTCTGCCTGGAGCAGCTGCTTGGGACATCCCCAATACACAGTTGACAGGAATCTTTCCCACCCGAGCTGTACCACCTCAGACTATAGATGGAGAGGTGCTTAAAAGTCCCCCCCCCCATCCTTAACAAATTGTAATAAATAAATCTTATGCCGGAAACTGCTTAGAACTCAGTTCTCTGTGCAGAACTCCTTCTAATCTGGAAGGAGGGTAGACGTTCATTCTTGCATGCAGTCCAAATTCTGTTTGAAGTGTACGAGAAATTTGGCATCGCAGTGAACTGTTCGTAGACCCATATGTAATGCAAAGAATTTGGATTTTGATTTCCTAAGAGAGCCATTCACCTCCATAACACACATTGCTGTTTGAAGCAGCAAAAAGAAACATTGCTAGTCAGGCCAGAAATGTTGGGCAGACATCCCATAGTTTTTTGGATAATCATAATTTATTAAACCGATATGCCACCCAACTCTCAGGGACTCTGGGCAGCTCACAACAATCAAAGTTGTTGTTCAGTCGTTAAGTCCAATAAAATGACTAAAAGATGGGAAGTGCGATGAAGCCAGGGGTCTCCCTCGCCAAAGGCCTGGGATGCTAGGGTATGCACTCTGGGTATTTTCTTCCAACTTTTTGGACTGATTTGATGGACTTCCCAGGCCAGATTTCCAGTTTGCAAGCTTCTTAGTTTCCCCTGACCTCAACGATCCTTTCTCCAGTTGAAGTACTGCACGTCATCTTGTGTTGGTCCCATCACCATCCTTGCCCGTGGCACACCAAGAATAGGGCGCACCACATTCTGTGCAGGCAAGTCTCAAAGGTTGCAAATGTTCTTGTATAGAGAAAAAACTACATCCCACGTCAGGAGGAGCATACAGGAGAGGAAGCTCCCTCCCTGTCCTGCTCATTTTCTGCATGCAGCAGTAAAGGATATTTAAAGGGTGCAGTCCTGATAGAGGTCAACCAGTGCAATGTGCCCAAGAAACTAAGCCCCAAGTTAACCCTGTGCACTTGTGAGTTATGACATCTCTGGATTCTTGCTGTAGTGCACCTTAATCCTGTGTTACAAGATAACCTGCCCTGATGAGTACTGAAACTTGGCGTCATCAGGTCACCTGAGGTTAAGGAAGGGCTCAAAACTTGCAGGATAGAATTGTTGACAGTTACAGTCATCTTTGTCTGCACATGGGAAGTGTTGGAACTGTGTGTATCCTTCCTGATGTTGTTGGGCTTCTTTGCCAGTTGCAGCCCTTCCTTGCTTTCAACCCCTCCTTTGATTTCCTCACATTTTCTGCTCAGACCTTTAGAACTTATGCACCCTGGTCCTTGGGAGTCAACTGTTTTTCCGGGTACTCTGCACAGCAAATCTGCAAAGCTAAGCACAATCAGACCTGGTGAATATGGAGGCGGGTGGCCACCAGAAAATCCTTGGGCGGCAGATTAGATGGGGAACTTGACCAAAAAAGACCCAAAAGAAGACATGGGCAAATCACTTTCATCCTCTGGCCAAGAAAGCTGCATGGATGTGTCCATGAAGTTGCTGGAACTCATGCTTGATTCAGAGATAGTTTTACATTAGAAGATGATGCGAATGGTGTCCCCTTCCATAATCCTTCCTCTGCTCTGCATGTGAGAAGAACAGGGAGCAGCCCAAAACCCCTTGCTAATCTCATGCTCTAGCCCTTTGCTGGCTTTTGAAATAATTTCATGATAAGAATATCAACGGGGCTGAACTACGTGCAACCAGCTGGGAAAGGAGATTGGCTCAAACTGTACCTTCCTGCTGAACATTGCAAATTCATACCTTTTCTGCCTGGGTTCCTAGGATCATTCGAAATACCTCATAGGCAGGATGGACATGTAATCTGTCCTTCCTGGAATGCCAGTATCAAGTGTGTCTCGGCCTCTCTTGCACCTGCACATCTGTCCTTTTGTCTTCCTAGTTTGCTAGAGAGCTGGGGTTGCCCCATTGGTAAGGGTGGGAATTTGGGGGGCTGGCACATCCTGTCTGAGAATAGTGGCAGCGGTCAGCCCCGTACATCTTGAAGGTCTGTGGCGTGTCTGGCTTTGGAGCCAATGGTCCTAGCTTGGCAGTTGCCTGGATCTAAATAGAAGCTGCTTTGGAGTCCTTGGGAGAAAGGCAGGATGCAGAGATGGAAAGTTGTTGGGTTTCTCCAGCACTGACCAACTTAGACCAGGCACTGGTTCCAGAGATTCCTCCAAAAAGATCAGGAACAAGGAGTGCTCTTTCCAGGAAGCAGTTGGTGTGCTCCTCCTGCTGGATGCCTTCCTTTGGGATTCAAACCCGTCCCCAAATCCTTTGTGATGAGCAGAACTTCCTTTATAGGTCTTCCCCACATGGAAAGATGCTGCTCGCTTTCAAGCATTTTAATGCGTGTGTAACATGTTTTTCTCCTCTCTTCTTTGCAGGAAGCGCCGAGGAGCCATCAACAGCAAGCAGCTGACTTACCTGGAGAAATACCGACCCAAGCAGCGTCTGCGTTTCAAGGATCCCCAGAACCACAAGAATAAATGCTGCATTATGTAACCTCAGTGATGTCCCCTTGCTGCAACACACCCAAGGGGAAGACAAAACCATGCCACACACAAATGCACAGGGCTTGACTTCTGAAGTTGCAAAGGACTTTTTGCCACAACTTTTCCTTTGAGTTTCCCCAAGGAAGAGGAGAGCTGAGTGTCCCCTTGTTGGTTTCAAAGGCTCGAAATGACAGCATTTTTTCCCTTCTTTCCCCAAATATTTGTCTTGTCAAAAGCTCTTTGTAATGACATCAACCTGCAATGCAATAACTCTTCAGTGTCCTCTTTCTCTAGAAAACTGATCAATGAATGAACTAACTAAAGTAGATACAGTAGGGTTGGGAGGCCTGTAGTTAAGCCCACTTATTTCTGGGCAGAGAGAAATCTAGATACACAGAGAAGCAAAGTTGGTTGGGCTACAAAGGGCGCTGTGCTGTGCTTGGTTGGTTTTCATGCTTGAAGAGGTAGCTGTGGCATTCTTTCTTGCAAGAGTTGTGAGGATTCAGCCAATCCATTGAACAGATGAGAAGTCACCCGTTCTGTTTAAGTAAATCCAGTGGTGTGCTTTACACATCATGATCCCCCTCCCCTCCAGCTGTGTGCCGTTTCTCCATGCACATCACACTGCACTTGGCTCTAGCCCATGAAGTCATAAAATTCCCACTGATTCCATAAGTGTGCTATCTTTGGGTGTCTTGGGGACGAATGTGGTTGATGTTGAAGTTGGGGGCAGGGTTGGAGGAGGTGGTCTCTTGAAGTGAGAACTGAAGGGTTCAAGAAGGTATGGAATAAGGTTTGGGAACTGGAAACAGGAATAGGATGAGGGAGTGATTGGGTGTGCGGAATGGCACTTGATTTGGAAATCTCATTTGACGGGATTCCTGCCATCATTTGGCCACAGTAGGTTCAGACAGGTTGAATGGCTCCGTGCATTTTGAGGAAGAAGGAACAGAGCACTTTGACTTCATGGAACTAGAGGTAACTCCGTTTTTACTAGTTTCTCAAATGTGTGTGTAGTACATTTTTGTACATACTTCCTCACCACTCCTGCTCTGCATTTACCCACTTCAGGCCTGGTTACTTGTGAGACAGATTACAGCCTCTCACTTGTAGTTCTTTGACTTGGGTCTGTCCTCTTATCACAGTGAGCAGTCATATACGTCCAATAGCCAGCAACTATGTTTTATCCATGGAAACGTATATGCCTGCAGGGGGTTGGGGGCATCTCCTGGTCCCACAGACAGACCAAGACTTGTTTCTGCTAAGCCAGAGGATCTCCTGAGTCAGCACAGTTTGTCAGCTGCAGTTGAATTCATGAAGTAGTTGAGACTTCTTATCTGTCCTTCTGTTTATATCTATTTTTATTGCTGTCTGGTTTTTATGCAAACTGATAAGCATCTTGAGAGTTGTGGGTAGAAGGGCAGGAAATGAAATTTAGAAATGGAAAATAAGAAATGTTTCATCAAACCCTGAAATAAATCCATCCAGTAAAAATTCAAAGAGGGCGGGGAAGCTGGTGGTCTTCTTTCCTTGGAGAGCTGGCTCCTGTCTGCATATTTCAGGTGTGTGGCTGGAAGAATGTTATGGGAGAAAATTCCCTGCACTTCTGAGTCCTGTCCTGGGTGTTACAGTCTGAGGCTAGAGAATGGCAGCCCTTCCTGTAGGCCAGCTCAAGAAACAGACTCCACAAGATTCATTGGAACTCCACTGTATGGATGAGGGCCATAGTAACAGAACTTCAGATGCCTAACTACGTTTTCTCTTCCCTCCCTCTCATAGAAAAGAGAGTTAAGGCAGAGCCAGTTTAAGTTCCTTTCTGACATTGTCTTCCTGTCCCAGGCTTAAATCCTGGTTTGCTAGCTGCTATAACGTTCCTCCAAGATCATCTCTGGGGTCCTCTATGGAGAAAGAGACAAAAGGAACCAGGAGGTTGGAAATGGAGGCCTGAAATTGATAAGTAAGGTGTCACCCTCAGCTTTGGTTATTTAGGGATGATCAGATTGTCCTAGAAAGATTTATGAGCTTAGATTCTGGATGAAGGGTGCTCGTTTGGTTTGTGTTGTTATCCCTGGGGAAGAGGACCAGTGAATAAGTGATAAGAGTTTGTCCACCTGCCTTGACCCCTACAGAGTTCTTGTGACTTTGAAGACAAGGATTCAGCAATTGGAGGGAGAAGAAGAGCTTGGCTCATAGTTTTATGTAGCTCTTTGTAGGTTGCAAGAGAGAACCAGAAGCTCCAAAACCATTGTCATCTCTTTTGTTTTCTCTCAAAGCACTTCTGTGTGTACTGCTGCATAAATTCTTGACTAAAATTTCAAGATGCTAGCTTGGCTTTGGGATCTGTGGCTTGGCTTGTGAGGAGGAACATCCTATCCTGAAGTTTCCATCGTTGCCCTATTCTTTTTAAACATGCTGCAATGGTCCATGGAGGATCTTTCCAAATCATTGCAAAGCAGTGACCTTAAAAGAGTTGGGTTGATTGAAGCCCACTGTAGACAAATCTTGCGTTGGGGGTGGGCTGAATTAACACAAGTCCATCCACTTGTTCATAAGGGGCTGGTTTGTCCATCTAGTTAGATACAGGCTATTGTGAATGTTGACTGTGAATCATAATTTTGGATGGAAAAAATCAGAAGGATTCTGGTAGCACTTTTTCCAAATTTTAAAAAATATATATTAAAGGGTATAAGCTTTAGTAAGCTACAGCTCACTTCATCAGATGCATAATTTTGGATCGTGGTTTTTCCCATTCTTGTTCAGTAAGATACAGTAATAAGGCATAGCCATCAGACCTATCGGGAATGGAGGTTCGAACTTTCTGCATCGAAGGCACATCCTTTTTTTACTGAGCTCTACATGGTCTGCCTTAAGTGGTGCTCCAGAGAGGAACTCCTCCAGACTTCTTTGTAGAAGAGATGGCTTCCTTGCATCTCACTTTGGAAAGGATTCTTGGCAAGGGAGCGGCCTCTTTTCCTTTCTCCAAATTATTGTAGATTGTTCCAACATAGCATTGTATTCAGGAGCAGGAAGAACCGTTCCTTCCAGCCTAGCAAATCTGTTCATAGAGAGGCCCACTGATATCATTAAACCCAGCCCTATTTGACGCAGGAATCCAAACTGAAGCATCCCAGACAGATGATTGTCCATCTTCCACCTGAGCACATCCAACAAAAGGGAGGCCACCACCTCTCTGGGACATTAGTTCCACTGTTTTTACTGATGAGACATTTTTCTTCACCTTCAACCAGAATGTGAACAAGTTAACCCTACTGTTTTTATTTAGAGTTTTTAGCAGCTGTTAAAATCTCCAAGAGTAGCCATTCATCTTTCATATGCCTCAAACTGTGGCCTCAGCTGCATTATGAATGCACCAATTGCCAATGTATGGAGGTGGAAGAAAACCTTCAAGTTACTTCTCCCCACCTGGGTCTTCCATTCTCAAACTTGGTACCTTGACCTGATTCTGTTGCCTGTTGATCAAAGGGAGGGGGGAAGTATCTGAGAACTAGTTGTTTGAAGACCATGGTTTCATGTGAGGAAGCAAACAGTGGTCTGGATAACCACCATTTTGTCTCTCCAGAGCCATTCTCCATCCAATCTTCCCTGATCAGGAAGCCAGGATTTCTAAGCCTGTGCAGTTGCTGTGATTTACTTCCGTTAGACTTGAACCCAGGCAATGCTTCAGCCTGAGCATGTGTGAAACAAGCAGTTCCTTGGGTGCAACTTGTTTCCTTTGCAGTATAGGCAGAGTGTCCTTTGACCGTGTTCCTACCAGAGATGGCTTGTTTTTGGCTGAACCTGGCAATTTCCTTATGTAGCTGTGGTGCAGCACTGATGTTTGCAAGCATGTTTATCCATTGTACACCAGGCCCTTCCTGCATAAGGGGGGGATCAGAGTCCTGGGTTCTGGCAGTTAAAAATTTGCTAAGTGATGTATCTAAAAGAAAATGTTTCAAAATTGAGTTTGCTTTGCCTGATCCTAGCATGTATATTGTAGCACCACTTTTAGCTCCTGCCAAGATGCAGCTCTCTTGCTAAGTTTTGCAACCTCGTCAAGCATTGTCCAAACGCTTCCTTCACGATCATAAGATCTAGAAACTCTTTCCCCCTTTTCAAAAAGGAAACTTAAGAGACTGTCCCGTGTCTTGCAGTCTGCTCCTCATTCTGAGCATGGAGCTAAAACTCGAGTGAGAGCCATCATCAGCAAAACGTTTTCTTCCTGCGAGGTTTTGGGGTGTCTCTTTCGATCCACTGGTGCTGTTTCTGGCATGGGTGATCCGGTTGATCCTGGCAGGTCCATGTTGGAAAACTGTTTCCTGGATGCCCCACAAGGTCAGTTTCTATGTCACAAGGTGGCTGTGCCTGGTGAAATAGCTTTTGCTGGTTAAAAAGTTGTACAATCTCAAGGGCTGAAGAGTGCAAACTATCCTCACCTCAGACAGGCAGCGTTGGGTCACTCAAGTCCCTTTTGGAGGCAGGATGCTTAGAAAGAGCCTGTTCCAAAGGGGAATAGCCCATTCCAAGGTTGGCCTGTTTCAGGATGAAATATTTTGCGCACCCCTGGCCATGGCCATTTTGTGTATTACGTTGCACTGTGGGCATCTAACAAAATGGAGGCAGGTACACAGTAACATCTCTGCCATTTTGCAGAAGCACTGATCTGCGCATGAAACAATTTTGTGAAGAGCAAAGCAGCTAATAACGGATAAATGCTTTTTTCACAGAAGTGTTGAAATTTGGGGAAAGACATTGGGCACGCTGAAATCGACGAAATCTGAGAGGCGCAAAATACAGAAATTCCAATTGTTGCCATGGAATTGTAGAGTGGTGGGTGTCCTCCTCTTTTTAAAGTAAAAGTTTCAATTCTCTTTATAATACCTGGAAACAAACCTTGACATGTCTTGGCAACTTAAGCTTAGGAATTTAGTTTTTCTGGTTCTTTTGTTCTGTTTGTGAGTTGAATGTAAATATACAGTCATCTCTGTGATGTTTTCAGTTCGAGGATCTGTTTTTCTGGGTGGACAGCTTCATCATGGGTGGGATAGATCCAGAAGGTCCCTGCAGAAGACAAATTGGCTTCTTGAATTGGCTTGCCAAGAGTTCTCCTGAAAGTAAAAGAATCAGGGAGGGGGAAAAAACACCCAACATTGAATAGGGTGGGTCTCAACTAAGTTACAATTGAGAAAGCAATCAGGTGTGATCGTATTTTGCTTCTGAACTAGAGCTGTGGCTGAATTTGATCATGAATTGAGCAGGATCAAATATGAAAGGTTTGAATTATTTCAGGCTGTCTCCTGGAAGTTTGCACACGTGAAAACTGCTTTGAGGAGACAGTGTGTTGGGAGGAGAGAGACCTTTTCCGATTCACTGCTGAGAGTTCTTTCTCCTCTTTTCCCATCCTGTAGATCAGGGTTTCTCAACCTTGGCGACTTTCAGGAGAGTGGAATTCAACATGGCTGGCTGGGGAATTCTGAGAGTTGAAGTCCACCCATCTGAAAGTTGCCAAGGTTGAGAAACCCTGCTGTAGCTGGTGGAATATTTAAGCCTTCCCAAGATGAGATGATACGGTCTAGGACAGCGTTAACTGGCCTTAGGAGCAGTTGAGACTCCAAAACAATTTTTTAGAAGATTGTAGTCCACCAGGCTTTAATCATATTGACAGCTTCACTCCCAGGGAGTGAGTTTGGCTAGTGGAGGGAATCTTTCAGACGTGCATTCCCTGGTGTGCCTCCCTCCACCGAGCCCATTACCTCATGGCATAGGAGCGCGTGATATATGAACAAGCGCATGGACCATTCATGCACAGCCACAGAATGAAAGATGCTCATTTTGGCTTGCTCGGTTGATTCCATCTGTTGGGAGTGGAAGAGAGAGGAGGTAGAACAGGCAAGAAAAGCGACTTCTAACTTCATAGATGAAGAATGTCTTTTCAAAGGCACAACTCCAAAATTTTATAAAATATATATATTTTTTAATGTTGATGGGTGTTCTTCCTGTGATCCCGTACCTTTGGAAAAACATTCTTTAGGTCTTGAAAACCAAAAGTAAACATTCAGAGCACATAAAATGTTTTCAGAGATTATTTCAGAGGACCGGCTTAGTCCCTTACAGACATACCAGCATTTTTAATAGCCTTATAGTGTGGAAACCTTGAATATAAAATAAAAGCTTGTGTGTAACCTTAGCTGGAAGAAGAATGTAGAGAAATGAACAAAAATACTACAATGCCTCTGTGTTTTGGGGGGGGGGGTTGTCTTCTCAATGGTTGCAGAGCAAGGCCCATAATATTCCTGCACCGTTGTCAAGCCTTTGTACATGGTATTGAAATCAAAACTGGGAAATTGAAACTCCCAAAATCTACTCTTGATACTGTTTCAATACAGCTTCTAATATGTCCAGAATGTGAAGTTTGCACATAGGAAAGACAAAATGAGAATTATGAGTGATATATGTTGATGTTCCTGCTACTTTAGATGGCAGAAATTCAGTGAAAACTATATAGTAAGGAAATGTTTTCCTTTCGATACTCCATCATACACACAGTATCTGATGCAGAACCTGAGGGTCTTCCAGATGCATGGACTTCAATTTCCAGAATTCTTGCAAATGGCTTTTCTGACTGAGAAATTTGGGAATTGAAGTCCACCCATCTGGAGGACCTTCAGGGTGGAGAAAGCTGACTCAAGTCTTTGACATTCATCCTGGCCCCTTAACATCTCAGAAGAACATTCAGTTCTTGTCATTCTTCTCCATGCAACATTCCCAAAGTCCGTTAACCATGCTGCTTAAAGATGAGAGCCAATTCCAGTGGCGTCTCAAGTGGGTCTTAAAAGGGATGGTGGGGAAAATGACAGGTGTGTGGCTCAAAAGAGTCTTACAGCAGGGTTTTCTGTCCCCTACACCTAGTTCACACTTAGCCATTGGTAGAAGCTCCTTTCCATTGGCTTCCCTACCTCTTTTGGTTGAAAGTCAGGAATGGTTCAGATGTGGCCGTTATGTGAGAGAGAAATGCCAGTGCGGGAAGGCCCTGGGCAGTTGGTGCCCATCTGCTTCTTGACATGAGGCCTTTGTGTGATTGCTGGTCTCCTAAAAGGTGATGATTTAATGAAGTGTTCAGAGTGTCCATAAGTAATCCAGCAGTCAAAACCTGGCAGTAATCCGAAAAAAATAAAAATTAATAACTATATATGTGCAGGAGATGATAATGGTTATTATTATTACTATTATTATAAATGATAAAATTGCAGTGACATTTATTTCCATGACTGCTCTGTTAATGCTGGGACAACCTGTAGATTGTGATCCCTCTTGTTGCTGTAACTTTTCAGATTGATCCACCCAGGTTCAATTTTCAGTATGTTTCTCCATCTTGAAAAGGCCTCCTCCCCAAATTAGATTTCCTTCTGACTTCTTGAGCCACACACACTTTTGACGCAACTCCTTGGGTCTCAGTAGTTCACAAATGAGGAATCGATGCTGAGACCCCTTAACTTTGTTTTTCTCTCCTCTGAGCCCTGCTAAATTATTATGATGACTTCCGGTGCTTTTTTATCAGGTCAACATTTACGTTGGGGTATGCCAATGAGATCTAGAACCTTGACACTTTATAATCACGACCCCCCCCCAAATAAATAAATAAAATGTACCTGTTTTTGCTCAAGTCCTGTGTAAAACTATGTCTTTTTTAGTAATCACTTTTTTTGGAGTGGTGAGAGGTTTCTTGAGAAGTGTCATAAGGTGATTTTTGCCTCCAGCCACAACAAGAAGGGAAAACTAAAATAAAAGGCTTCACTGTTTTGTATGAGACTCTGTCTGGCAATGGATTTTTCTCTTTCCCTGCTAACGTCTATCACTGGATAGGAGCCACGATAATTGTTTAATTCATTTATCAAATGTTTACCCACTCAGACTAGGTTGTGTCTATCATATGCCCTGCTAATGGAGCCAGATTTAATTGATTTAATCAATTTTAATTTAATCAACTTAAATGGACCATCAATTTAATTACGCAAAGCCTGCTTATAGTCTTCAGTGCCTTTTGGAATTAGCTGTGGGGCCACCATGGAGAAGGTCTGCTTTCTGGTCCGTGTAACCTTCACCTCTTGCCGGGGTGGGACCTCAAGCAGGTCAGGCAGAATCATTTTGGGCAAGGGGTTCCCTAACTTAATGCAGCACTGTACTATGTAGGGTTTTATAGGCAATGAACAGCGCAGTGGCCACCAGAACAGCAGTCACGGTTCCTCTGCTCTAGTTGGTTTTCCCGGCAAATAGTAACTTCTGCATGTCTTCAAAGCAGCCCCAGATAGAGTGGGCTAGAGCAATCTAGCCTTGTGGAAAGGGCAGGAGTGCCAGGCTTTAGCTGGCCAGCAGAAGTGCCAACTGGGCAAGATTGCAAGAATCCAAGAACCTCCCAGAATTCATTTAAATTGAAGGAAGGATAGAAAACATTTGCCCACTGCAACGTTTGAAGAACAACAATAGTCAAAGCCCTTTTTTGCATCTCTCACACACCCTGCGTAATGGACTGCTCAGCCTGTTCTGTGGGTGGCTGGTTTCCATCCATCTCTTGACAACAGCTAAAAGCAATGCCAGATTATTCTCTGACTGCGTGAGAACCTCACCATGAGTCACTGGTATCGAGGCTTCCAGGTGCAGGTAGGGCCATAGCTGACACAGCAGCAAGTTGAGCAGTTTTCCCCCAGTGGTGGCTTCCATTTCCTGTCCAGGCAGGAACCAAGCTTCCACCCCCTTTCAATGGGACCATGGCCTCATCAAGAACTAACAGTGGAACCCATTTTTCTTGTAAACCCAGATATTTAGGGATGGACAGAACCTGTGTCTTGCTAGGATTCAGCTTGGTTTACCCCATCCAGTCCCTTGCCGTCTCCATACACCAGATCAAGTTCTCCACAGCATCTCTGGCCCAGCCTGGATGGCGATCTATACTTGAGTATCAGAGCTGATGACCATATCCCTAAAACAACATGACCTCTTCTAGCAGTTTCATACAGATGTTAATAGGTGGGAAAGGACTAAATCCTAGGGCAGTGTTGTCCAAACTTGGCCAC